TTTTTGTCTTAGCTTTTATAATTCAATTGGACACAACATTTGTAGAATTAAATTCCAGTATCTTACCAAGGGAATCTTTCATAAGAGGAATTATATAAATTAATCATCCTATTTAAGCTTCAGGTACTTTGTGAGATATTTGGAGGTTATTCCATAAATATGCAGTTTGGGAAAAATGTAATACAAGTTGGACAATGCTTACAGTGCATCATCTTTTCTCACTTCAAACCCACACAGAAATTCCGAGAACTGAAATCTTGTCCTAGTATTACCTGTGCTAAGACTGGGCATTCATAAGGTCACAGCCCATAGTGAGGATACCTGGTTGGACGGTGAAGTTGAGACCCCAGGTAAAAAAGTCGGGGGATGCAGCAAACAAAATACTCAGAAAGTTGAGATCAGTTACATAAACAAAGCCCCAAACAAAAAACAGTGTCCTAGGAATAAAAGACAGTTTGGGTGGAAAGTGAAATTCACTGTTTGAAACTCTGAATGTGCATGTGAGAGTTCAAGTGCACTGCCCTTTGGGTGCCTTCCACATCATCCAGAGCAGACAAATCATTTCCAAATGTATTTTGAACAGCAAAGCCTCAAGTGAAATTTTACCTTATGCTTCAGTATATAACACATGGAAATGAATTCTTTTAATTTAAAGAAAACTCTTAGATATCTCATTTTATCAAATCCCAATGAGAAGAAAACCTAGATAAGTTGGATGAACTCTTGTTGGGATTGTTGATTTCTAGGTGACTTTTGCAGTATGTCCAAACTATTGTTCAGTTTTGTTCAGATATGTATTGAGTAAATGCATTCGCTGTGCGACATGGTGATTTTCTGCATTCTTCTTGATTCTGAAGTTCAGAACTCCTCAACACCAGCATTGTGGTTGAGAACATTATGAATCATGGAAATTAGATCCCTTGCCAATAATGCTATAAGGACTAATTGTTTCACACCTCAGCTAGTGACTTTTTCTTCTGATATTTAATAGAAAAGCCACTCCAGTGCCTCATGTTTCTCCTTTTTCTCCCTCTTTTGAACCATCACAAACTAATTCCCATCAGTCACATAGCCACGGATTTTCCTTACAGGGGCAGCAGAAAAGAGCTCCAAACATGGTGCCGAAGACAAGACACAGACCATCATCACAGCCATGAAGGAAAGGATGAAGATCAGGGAAAAAAACCGGCCAGAAGTGTTTGAAGTCATCCAGGAAATGTTTCAGATTTCTAAAGAGGACTTTGTACAGTACGCAAAGGCTGCCAAGCAGAGTGTGCTGGATGGGACATCTAAGTGGTCGGCAAAAATAACCATCACAGGTAAAATAAGTTCCTTAAAGAGGGTTTATGTGTCTCAGGAAGCATGATTAATTAAAATGGTATATAAAATGAATATAATACTTTCAATCTTGTCAGTATTGACAAATCTACCTATTCAAATTTCTCAAATATATTCTAGATAATTGGAGTAATTTCAGTTTGCATTCTCTGAATACCCTGAAGATTATAAAAATCTAGCTTTTTAAATGACTGCTACTGAAACTTAAAATTGGTTAATAATCTCCTGATAAGGATTGTTTGTTTGCTTACTTAATGAGAAATTATTAAAGGAACTGCTCATTTACCATCTGATCCTTAAATAAAGGCTGATTGAGTTTAGTGGGGCCCAGTGACAGGGGCTTCTGAAGTTGATTCTTTGTATGATGTTAACATAGACCAATCTTTGTGATCTTTGGACTCGCATTACATTACATAATTTTAAAAATACTTCCTTTATTGGGATGAGTTAATAATTACTTATACCAAATTTATTTAAAATTTTCTATCAGCCAGGTGCCTTGGTGCATGCCTTTAATCCCAGAGGCAGGCAAATCTCTGTGAGATCGAGGCCAGCCTGATCTATATAGTGAGCTCCAGGCCAGCTGGGCCACAGGGAGACCCTGTCTCAAAAAACCAAAAAAAAAATTATATCATGGAACTTTGGATTTTGCTGGATAATATCTTGCATATTGTGCATATAGCCTCATCCTTAAACATGTATACATTGTACATGTATATAATATGCACACACACATATAACATGCATGTGTATCATATAATATATGTAGGCATATAGAACTAGTGTGTGTGTGCACACACACACATAATTCATTAGAGTCATTGGACATTTTTTGAGTCTTCATTTACAGCTGACACTGTATGTTTATGGTCAGGTATGGCATGCTGTTTTGAAGCATGTATGCATTTTGGAAGGGCTGTCTAGCTAGATAACTTGTGAGTTATCATACACCATCGTGCGTGAGAGCACATCATTCCCTTTTGTGTTTTAAGAATGTGGTGCAGGGTGTTCACTATGGTTGCCTTGCTGTGCAATGCTTCTGTTGAAATATGTTCTTCCTGCTTAGCTATGAGTTCAACTATAAATTGAATTCCTTGTTATCTCCCCACAAACTTCCCAGGCTTCTCATAGGCACCACTGTAATCCTGTTCTATGAGTGACTGATGCCACTGTCACAAAATATCTGCCTTTCTGTTACTGGTTGTTTCACGTAATGCAATGTCCTTCAAGTCTATGCATGCTATTGCGAATGGCAGAATTTTATTCTATTTTAAATTTAGTTTGAGAATTTCAGACATGCACAGTATATTTAAATTATATCTACCTCCTTCAGCTCCTCCCATGTGCCTCCCACTCCCTTTCAAATTCATGAGTTCTTTATATATATATGAAACCTACAGAGTCTATTTAGTATGTGTATATGTGTTTAGGACTGATCATTGGGACTGGGTAATCTACCAGGGCACTACCGCTGCAGAAAACTGATTCTCCTTCCCTCGGTAGCCATTGACTGCCTGTAATTCTTCATATGGGGTGGAACCTTGTGGGCTTTCCGCCATCCCCATTAGCATACTGACTGTTACAGTCCTTAAGTCTTTATTCAAATCTTGTTTAGGCAACAGTACTGTTGATATTTCATGGGTGCAGCTTCTGTGTCATGTTAGAAGCCACTATCTAGAAACAGGTGTCCTCATCCACTGGCTCTTACCGTCTTTCCACCCTCTTTTCTGTGATGTTCCCTGGACCTTAGCTGTAGGTGTTGTATTGTTATCTATCATTTGGGGATGGACACTTGCTGTCTGATTGTCCAGTTATGGATCTCTGTAGTAGCCTCTGTCTGCTGTAAAAAGAAGCTTTTTTGGTGAGTGTTGAGAGCTGTGCTTATCTATTTGTATATGAACAAATGTTTAGGATATAGTTAGAGATTATGTTGGTTTAGGAGAATGACAGTAGTAGGCTCTCCTCTAGGGTCTGCGACCTCTCCAGTACCAGCCACGATTTTCTTTCTTATTGAAAGGGTTTTAAGTTCAATTAGACAGATATTGGTTACCCCATAGGTAAGTGCCACTATTGCACTATTGGGAATATCTTGCCAGGCCAGTCATTATTGTGGTTTATAGGTTTTATAGATGGGTAGGACTATTGATTGCTTTTCTCCCTTGGCAGATTGCATCACATCTTCCATTTTATAAGCTTACTTAAAAACATGTATAATATATGTGCATGTCTATATATATGGATATGTGTGTGTGCGTGTGTATACAATTTAAATAGTTGTGCAACAAAGGGTGAAAATGCTACCTAAAAGTCACAAACTATCTAACAAATACCCCAGTACCAGGTATGAGAAGCCTCCTTTCAAGTTGTTGGTCAGGGGAGTTCAAGACACTCCCTAAACAATATAAATTATTGCTACTGGTTGCCTCCCAGAACTTGAAGGTAAGACCCTACTGCTGAAGACACCACATATTTCTGACACAGGATGGGAGGAACTAAGCTGGAGCTGACCTGTAAGCCTCCTCCCTGAGGATCAGCTCTCATAATATCACAGTATCAGAAGGTACTATGCAAAGATTTCATTCTTGATCTCCATGAGTAAGTTATCAACACACCTGAGTCAGCATTTCTTAAAAAGACGTTTACAGCTGACCAGCAGCATATAAAAAAAAGTTCAGTATGACTGATTATCAGGGACGTTCAGATTAACATTACAGTGAGGTATTATATCACTAATATTAGAATGGTTATCATTAAAAAAATACAGGCCCAACCTTAGCAGAAGAACTATTGGCAGCTGATTACTGCAGGTGAGGGAGATTGATCTTTAAAGGAGAGATTCTAGATAGGCTGACTAGACCCAGTTGAATGAACTTGTACTGAGAGATGTATGGGTACACTAATTTGGCTAGATAGACCTTAACATATATGACAGAATGCATGAAATCTGGTGGGGGTGCTATGGGAGGGTATTGATGGGGGTGGGGGTATAAAGATGATTAAAATACTTTGTATGGGGGGGCTGGAGAGATGACTCAGCTGTTAAGAACACTGTTCTTGCAGAAGACCCAGGTTCAAATCCCATCACCCACATGGCAGCTAACAACTGTCCGTACTCCAGTTCCAGGGGATCCGATGTCCCCTTCTGGCCTCTGTGCGCCAGGTGCACTTACCTACATGCAGGCAATACACACATATACATAAAATAAAAATAATAAATAAAAATTTTAAAAAGATGCTTTGTATGAAATGCACAGAAATTCAATAAAAATGTATTCAAAGTAGACTGGAGAGATGGCTCAGCAGTTAAGAGCACTGGCTGCTCTCCCAGAAGACCTGGATTCTATTCCCAGCACCCACATGGTGGAATAACTCCACTTCCAGGGTATCTGACATCCTCTTCTGACCTCCGCCAGCGTTGTAAGACACAGGTGCAATTACATACATTCAGGTAATACAGTCACACATGTAAAATAAGATATATGTATATATAAATTATATCTATTTTATATAAGAATTACTTTATGTAAAAATTATATATAATATATATGCAAAAAAGTATGGATCATAATTAGGAGAGAAAAGAGTCCTGTACACTGTTGGTGGGGATGTAAATTAATAAAGTCATGATGCAAAACAGTGTGAAGATTCCTAAAACAGTTTTGAGATGACATTACCATATTCTCCAGCAGCCCTACTATAGTGTATACACTCCAAAGAGATGAAAACCTTATCTTAAAGAAATGTCTGTAGTTCTGTGGTCATTGCACCATGATTCACAGTAGCTGAGGCATAAATCAGCCTAGGTGTCCATCAATAGACGGACAGGCAGAGAATGCAGTACAACACTAGAGAACACTAGAACACAGTTCAACAGTAGAGATGTCCAGGGAAGATCCTGCTGGTCAGCATGAATATTCTTTAGTGATATCTGTGAAAGCCTGCGAGCTGTGGGAACGTAACAAGGGTGGTTTGTGAACCTGGGGCAAAATGATGAAAACTATTTTCTCTAATGTTTTGTTTCTGAGGGTATCATATTAAAACCTTTATTTTGGCTTATTTCAGTGGTCTCTGCACAAGGCTTGCAGGCAAAAGACAAAACAGGGTCAAGTGACCCATATGTTACAGTTCAAGTTGGAAAAAATAAAAGAAGAACTAAAACCATCTTTGGAAACTTGAATCCAGTATGGGATGAGAAGTTTTACTTGTAAGTACATGATGTACAGCTACTACAGGTATTAAATTATTTTGAGAATAAGTTGAAGACAGTCTTGCAAAGAAAAAAAAAACTCATTTTATGAAAAAAAAAAGTAAAGCACTGTTTCAAACTTAATATTGCAATAAAATGCATTACTTATTATTTAGAAGTATGTGAATGAAAAGATTATTTAGACACAAAAAAGGTACTCAGTTGGGGTGGTGTTGTAAGAGAATAAACGAAATTTGCATCATAGTCTGTGACTTGGGATGTGGTTCCTGTAACTAGGAAGTCACAGACTGGACCAGCAGTTCCCTTACATCTGAAGGTTTGTTACTAATGATAGGGCAAAGACTTGGCCATCACCTGGACCACCCCCAGTGGTGTGACCCACAGGAGATCACACTGAAGTAAAGGCTGAAGCCAGCTTTATCACTCCCCACTGTCTACGAGGGTATTTATTTATAAGCCACTGACATCTTGCACTTGAGAACAAGACATCAGTTTTCCCTGACAGGTTCTTTTCTATCACTCCTTTTATACAAAATGAAATGACTTCCAATTATCATTTGGAACAAGAAACTGAAGGGGTTGATATCTGTTGAATCACATGTACATGCTAAGTAAGGAGACTTGGACTCATAATTTGGAATAGTGTTTATTAGCAAGTGGTGTGTGTGTGTGTGTATGTGTGTTTGTGTGTGTGTGTGTGTTCTGATAAAAGAGTACTAAGAAATAGTTTCAGAAAGTTAATTGATATTGTATAACTACAGAATTAGCAACAGGACTTGGATGGTCTCCTCTTCAGAGAAATGGACATGCTAATAGCTCTTCCTTTTAAAACTGAAGACAAGAAATCAATTGGTAGTTGTAAATAGAGATTCAGCTGGAATCAAGTGAAAGAATAAAGCTGGCTAAGAGCACCAGGGGAGAATTATGGAAACCACTGCCATAAAGAGGTCAGGAACTAGGAGCAGAGGGGCTGGAGAGATGGCTCAGCAGTTAAGAGCACTGGCTGCTTTGCAAAAGGACCTGGGTTCGGTTCTTAACCCCAGTTCCACGCCCTTTTCTTGCCTCTGTGGGTGTTGCATGTACACAGTGCACTTATATACACACAGGTAGAACACTCATACACAATATATAAAAATAAATACATTTAAAATTAAAAACAAAGAGGGCAGGGACTCAGAGCAGAAGCCCCTGAACAGCCTCACTCTTGGCTGACACAGCGCAACCTGATCTAGGCTCTGAGAAGCCACATGTTCGAGGTTTATAAATACCTGGATTGAGCCATCCTTGACACACCAAATCAACATATAGTTGTGCAAGTGAGTTTTGTGTGTGTGTGCTTCTGTGCATTATTCATCACAGACAGGGAGGTGACATGTCCACTGAAGTCTTCCCTCCTGACTGCCCTGTGCCCAGGCAGAAGCTGACTTGCTTTCTGTGTTGTACATTTTTTTCTACTTGGTGTTTTCTGCATGGTTCATAGACAGATGCATCGGGTATGTGCAGCTCCCTTTGCTCACTATAATTATGTTTGCGTTTTCGGGACATATCTTTTTATTGCTGTGTAGCACCCTAAATATCTTTTTAGTACATATCTTTTTATTGCTGTGTAGCACCCTAAATAGTTTCATCATTTGACATTTACACCATAAATGTATGAGAACCCAGATCTAATCCAAACCTGCAATACTTGTTAAGGCCAAATCTTAAGTGCTTTATATTTCAGCAATTCTAACTTGCATGCAATGACACTTTATATAGGTTTTGCTATGCATTTTTCTAATGACTGCGAATTTTAAGCATCTTTTTATGTGTTTGTGTGTCACGTATCTTCTTTGGTCTATTCAAGTATTGCGCCTATTTTGTAATAGTTTTATATTTTATACACTTAGGTCTTGATGTATATTTAAATAGATTTTAATACTGTATAAGTTATGCATGAGTATTTAAATATTTGTCATTTTGAAAGTATTGTTTGTTCTCGACTGACTCACTTTTGCACCTTTGATTTTAGGACTCTTTGTTCTGTTCTGTCGTCTTTTTGTATATTGTTTTGATGGACCACAGCCCTGTAAGCAGCCTTTAAATCAGGAAACAGTCTTGAAATAAAGATTAGCCCTACAACTTCCTTTTTTCAAGGTTATGTTGGCCACTTTAAAAAGATTCAATTATTTCCATATTAATTTTAGAATCAGATAAATGATTTTTTTAAAAATGAAACCATACAGATAAAAATAACCTCTGTATAGAATTTTGATTGCTTAAGCCACACCGAGATTTCTAGTATTAAATCAAATGGAAATGATCATGCAAAAATCTCTAGCTTGCCCCCCCAATCCCAGGCAGGAAGGATTCCTGTCTTAACTTTGATACCAGCTGTGGCTTTACTGAGGCTGCCATTCATTCCATTAGGAAAAGCATCTCCTATTGTATTGTCTACATGCAGAGTTTCAATGAGCAATACATGTTGAGTTTTGTGCTGCCCTTTTTACATATATGTTGACATGACCATATGGTTTCAACTACGGTTTTTTAAAGATGGTTTAAAGACCTCCTCCACGGTGTCTGCGTTGTGTGCGCTGTTCTCCACGGAAGTCTGCTCCATCCTCACCTCCACTGCTCCGAATGTGCCTTCATCCTCCTGACTTCTTTTAATATTTCATTTGCTCTGTTTATTGGTACAGTGTGCTTATGGTGGGTCACGTCATTTTCTTTGTTTTGCTGTCACTTAGGGTTTTTTGAACTTCTTGAGACTGTGTGTCTAAATTTTCTTTCGAGTTTGGAGAAACTCTGGTCATTTTTATAAGCGTTCTTTCGGCTTCCCACCCCAACTGTGGAGACTCCACTGACCCTCGCGTTAATTCTCTTGACATTTCCCACAGTTCACTGTTGTGTAATTCACTTTTCCTTCTGGCTCTCTTTTCTAGCTACTTGACCTTGGTTTTTATTGACATGTATTTATACACTCTTTTCCTCATTCCTGTCTAACATGAAGCAAACACAAGCAACTTTTTCCTCATATCACATATTTTATATCTCCATCTTCTGAAATCCGAATTGGGTCTTTGCGTTTTGTGTTTGGGGTTTAAAATGCTTACCATAATTATCACTGCCAGGTAATCCCGTCTTCCTGGAGTCCATGCCTGGATTCATCATGCCTGGTCCTCTCTACCTCCCAGTGCCCTCCCACTGCTAGTTCCCTTAGCTTTCCCACCTAGCGTCCAGCTGCTCTTGGTTCATCTTTTTGCCCCTCACTCCCAGATATGAGAGAACACATCCTGTTTTAATAGTTGCTTATTACACTTAATGTGATGACTTTACTTCCATCCCTTTCTCTCACAAATAATATCATTTTTACTCATCTACTACTCATCTGTTGGCAGGTAACTAGGCTGATTCCATGTCTTTGCTATTGTGAACAGTGCTGCAGTAAACCTGATCATGCCAGTGTCTCTTTAACATGGTGGCTATAGACCCTTTGAATTCATATCCAGGAGTGGGGTAGCTGGATATGTTCATTTTTTGATTTTTTTTTTAGGAACTTCCATATGGTTTCCTATGGGGAGTATACTAATTTACATTCTTGCTAACAAATAACAATTAGTGTTCCTTTATCCTATATCCTTACCAGCATATCTAGCTTTGTGTGTGTGTGTGTGTGTGTGTGTGTGTGTGCGTGCGTGTGTGTGTTTTGTAATAGCCATTCCGACTGGGATGAGGTGAAATCTCACCATAATTTTGATTTGCATTTCCCTTATAACTGGAAACATTGATCCTTTTCTCCATATGTTCACTGGCCATTTGTACTTCTTTTGAGAAGCACCTGTTCTGGTCATTTTCCCTTTCTATTGATGAAGTACATGTTTTGCTGTTTTTGTTTGTTATATTTGCTAGATATAAAATATCTGTCAGTGAACAGCTGGCGAAGGTTTTTATCCCATTTTAGAGACTGTAATTTCTTTTGCACCTTATTTCTGCTGTTTTCTGTACAGAATATTTTTAATTTTATGCCGTTTCCTATGTCAGTTTTTGCTTTATTTCCTCAACTACTGGAATTCAATTCTGCAAATCACTGACTGGGCTAATGTTCCCTTATGTTGCACGTTTTAGTTTCAAAAATGATTGATTTGCATACTGGGTGAATGACAAGGATCAACTTTCAATCTTCTACCTGCAGATGTCCCATTTTACCAGCACCACCTGTTGAAGAGATTATCTTTTCTCAAGCTTGTTTTTGATATTTCTTTGGGAATCCTTTAGTTGAACATGCCTAGATTTATTTCTGGGCCTTCTGTACTCTTGGTCTATGAAATGTTTTTATGCCATTATAATGATTTCTTTGTTACCATTGGTGTCATGGAACTGTCTTCTGCATATGATATCACTGTTGCCATCCACACAGCTCTGATTAATTGCATAGGACACTCAAAAGATCAGACCTATAAATATCCCTTGTAGAAATACGAGCGGCCATCAGACCCTCCCTTGAGATTCCAGCTACTAGCCCTTCCTGCTTATGCCTTCCCCAGCTGCACATAGTCTTTAGGGTTCAAGAGTATCTAGATGAAAGGTTGACTGCCGTTGTGAACTCCTGTAGTGTAGCTTTTGCAAAGTGGCATCTAGACTAGGGAAGAATTTTCATTATGCTCCTCTAAGTAATAAACCCATTTTTTCACCAAGCTGGACTAACTGGAATCATTTCTTTGGTCTATCATTGGCGCCCTGTCTAGGGTGGATACAAGTTTGTTCACATCTTCCTAGGAGCAGTCACATAGCATGGGCCTCTGTAATATATTTTGAAAGCAGGATTATCCTTCTAGTATTGCTCTTTTTCCTCAAAAATTGCTTTGACTGTTTGGGATCATTTGGGTTTCCATATGAAATTTACCCCGCCCCCTTTTCTGTGAAGAGCATCATTGGTATTTTAATGTGATTGCATTGAATTGTAGATTATTTTGGCTCTGTAACCACGTTAACATTATCAATTCACCCTATCCATG